CTCTGTAAAACCATACAATTGCTGTCTGTTAGCATTCTACAGGGATTCATCTACTAGAACATTCATGCTTGGTAGGAAGTAACAGTTTTCTGGCTATACTTTATATTTCAAGACTCTTCTGGTTGTTCAGCAACTGAGGTTTGGAGCCCAAAAATTAAAAAGATGGGCTAAAGGGATGGGCCTAGCCCTCTGAAAAATGTCAGTCTCCTTGGAATACTCCTTTTCTGCTGGTTCACAAGCCTGGGACAAATGGGTATCACCCAGTCCAGGACTTGCAGGCAATGAACGCTCTGGTTATAACCCCTCACCCTACTGTACCCAGTCCCTATACCTTGCTTAGTCAAGTCCCTCCTACTCGGACATGGTATACTGTGTTGGATTTAAAAGATGTTTTCTCTGTGTCCTTTATCTGTTGCATCCCAAGAATTGTTTGATTTTGAATGAGAGGATCCAGAGGGAAGAACAAAAATGTACTTCACTAAGTGGACCTGTTGGCCCTCAACCCTGCCTCCCTTTTCCTGACATCATTGGAGCCACCTGAGCACAACTGTGTGAAAACAACTGAGGCAATCTACTTGGTCAGACCAGACCTATAGGACACGGCCCTCCAGAGCCCTGACCTGACCCTGTTTTCACATGGCAATAATGTGAAACAGCCCAGAGTCCACAGACAAGGAACACTGCCCTTTGAGGACCTTGAGGTGGATTTCACAGAAATCAAACCCACTCTTGGAAACGAGAAGTACTTGCTGGTCCTCCTTTGCACCTATTATTGCAGGGTGGAGGACATCCTCACAAGAACTGAGACATCTAGAGAGGTGGTAAAAGCCCTGATGGAGTTAATCATTCCCCAGTATGGACTCCCTATGTTGATAGGTTCAGATAATGGGCCTGCATTCATGGGTCGAGTGGTCCAGAGCCTTTCTGCAGCTTTAGGGCTGAGATGGAAGTGACACACTGCCTATTGGCCACAGAATTCTGTCCAGATGGAGAGACAGAATCAGATTTTGAAGTATACCCTAACCAAGCTGTGCCAAGAGACTGGGGAAAACTAAGTGACTATGCTTCCAATGGCCTTGCTAAGGTCCCGATGCACCCTGTACCAGGATGAGCTCACTCCATTTGAGATCATGTTTGGGAGGCCTCCCCCACTTTTGCATGTCTTAGAAGGACTACAAGAGATAGGAACTCTGGACTTGTGCAACAGATGGAAGCCCTGCAAAAGACTTTAAAGGAGCTCCAGCAAGTTGTGCTCCATGGATTCACTACTCTTGAACCAAGAAGTGGATAGCAGAACCCCCTGAGGGATCAACTCCACCAGCCCCCTGCCTATTCCTGAGCTGGTGTGTTTTTCACCCCCACCAGAATGTTGCCTACCAAGTTGCTCTCAAAGACTACAATGAAAATCAGCTTCAACCCAATCTGATGATGACCTGCCTGACTGTCCTGGTCCTGGTACTCCTGCTGTGGGCAGCCCCAATGGGAGAAAAGTCACAGATGAAGACTCTTGATGGACTGGGAGAACACCTTTGTAGTTCTACCATTGTGCATCCCCCAGTGGACTCTATTCACATTCGATGATCTGAGCTGTCCTCACTGCACCTCCCATGTGACTAGCAAGATGTTGTATTCATAATCCCCATATGTAAATTTTGGAACCCCCGCTGGTGGTGAGACAAAGCCAATCCCAAGACTCACCCTTTCCCCACATGTGAAGTTCAGAAAATGGCAATTAAAGGGGATAATAATGACTTGGTAAAGTGGGGACTCTATATGTGCCCAAATATAATGGAAGGAAGATATGAAAGGAGTTCAGAATGTGGTCAGGAAGTTATATAACCAGGTTAGTTCCTTGGCAAAAGTAGCATTACTGAGTAGAAGAGGACTCAGTTTACTCTTTATTGAACAAAGAGGGCTGTATGCTGTCCCCAAGGAAGAATGCTGTTTTTCTGCAAACAACACTGGGGTCATCATAGAAATACTTCACAGGTTGGATAGAAAAGCAAAGGAAAGGAGAGAGACGTATCATAGCCACCAAGAGGGGTATGCAGGTCTCTTCAACTGGGGCCTGGGATTAACCTCCCTAATGGCTGGGATCACAGGGCCCCTGGTGATTATTGTGGTGATCCTTACTTTCAGGCTGTGCATAATTAATTGAGTTAAAAATAGGATCCAGAGCAGTGTGAACCAAGCATAAATGATGGTTCTAAAGGAGAACACCAATTATAGAGTGGAGACTGGATCCTCAATGTATAAAAAAGGACTATATATGTCCTGAGAAAGGAAAATATGTCCTTGAGGGGTGAATGATAGGGCAAGGGAGACTGCATTTTTCTTTTTTAACCCCATATTAAGAGAACTCACTTAAGCTGTAGTTGACCCCACTCTTCACCCTCTCCCTTTGGTTAGTCATCAGTCCACTTAAAGGAGAACAGAGTCATAAAATGGGATTGGAGCAAACAGCATAAATTGGGAAGTACGCTAAAAGTTAACCCGCAATAGTCATCTGGGATCCAGCTTCCAGCAACTTCTGGGAAAAGTAAATCTTATAATCATTATATGATCTTGTAAAATTCCTAAAAATGAGGTCATGGTTACTATGGAAACCTAAAAATGTACTTAGAAGATGAGACCCAGATTGGGGTGGACATCTTCTCTGGCTCCTGGTTAGAGACTGTCCATCAGCTGGCTCAATAAAGCTTTGTTCGTTCCTGCTCTTTCAATCTCTTGTGAATACCGTTTTCTCTGAACTCGCATATCACTCCACACATGACTCTGAGGTGACCATTGTAAGCCTATCTTGTAAATCATATATATATATATATATATTCATAATCATCTTC